AGTGTCTCACCCCTCCCAGGGTCACTGTGGATCATGCCGGCTCCTAGAGGAAGACGCGCTCAGCAGTGAAACCATTCCTATAGAAGTTAAGGTAAGTATATACATCTCTTTCTTATTTTATTAGAGTCTTTGGGGTGTGTTGCACTAAAAACAGTCCTGGTGATGAGTCAGGTCTCTCTGACAGCATCACAGTCTCAATCTGCAATGTAAGTACAGTACTGGAACAGAACAGGCCTCTTTCTGCATCATCTTCTGCAACAGATGAAATAGCTGAGCTTTTATCTATATTGCTTCAGAAATGCTGGTCCTAGGAGATTTTAATCTCAACTGGTCTAATGCATCCTATCATTTAAAAGAAATATGTGGCAATCTTACCCTCAGATAGTTAATCACTGAGTCAACTCGCCCAAATCTCAATCGTTGGAGACCCTTTCACAACAACAAACTGAACAACAGTCCCGACTAGTTCATGTGGTCGCTAATGTGAAAGAGTCAACTGCTCAACTGCAAGCTTTAGGTATGTCCACCAAGAGTGAGAATGCTGCTAATGTTTCTTCATCTGTTAGCAGGATCAGTCTTTTCTGTCAGTAAGCCTGACAAGTTTGAGGGCAACACTGAAATATGTTGTGGGTTTTTGTTACAGTGCTCAATCTTCTTTAACAATTCTCCTCCAAGCTCTGATCAGGCATAAATTTCTTTTCTAATATCACATTAGTGCGACAGAGCATTAAATGAGCAACTGCTGTTTGGTTTTAAGACTTCAACCTATAAACAATTTGTAAAAGATCACCCTCATAAGGGAAAGGTCAGTGGTGAACTTTTGATGAAACTTTGACAAGGTAATCGCTCAGTTTCAGATTAGGCATTAGAATTTTGTACCCTGGCAGCTGGAAGTGGCTGGAATGAACCAGCTTTATTGGTTATGTTCTGCCACGCACAGACATACTTGCAGAATTAGCTTGTAGAGATGATGATCTGAACTTAGATCAACTTATTACAATGGCCATTCATCTGGATCAACTCATACATGATCGTAAACATTCCAGCAATAAGAAAAGAATTCAAGCGCCATTGGCAGATGAAATTAAAGACCCTGAAGAAACCATGCAGTGTGATACATCTCTCCTTTCTCATGAGGAGAGGCTTCGTCGAGTTCAAGGAGGACTATGTTTCAACTGTGGCTATTTTTAATTATAAAACACTTTCCGGCCATATGCCAACATATATTACTTCAATGATGTCTGTAAATAAAGGTAATTATCAGACTCACTTTAGTGGTTGGATCACATGCCAGGTACTGAGAGTTTTAACTGGACTGGGAAAATCTACCTTTAGTGAGTTCCAGCCTGCCTGATTTTTTACTATTACAGTCTTATTTTCATTATTTTATTGTTTATTATTTGTGTATTTATTATTATTCATATGCTTATTCTAATTTTAATTATTTACTTTTGATTTTATTAACTTTTACATTTTAGCTATGTTTATTTATCGTTTTATATTTTCTACTGTATTTTTATGTATTTTTATTATTAATATTTAATTTCTTTTATATTTACCTGACTTAAGTCATTTTTCATTAAATTTACTTTTATTATTTGATATGTTCTAACACATTATCAATCCCTTATCCTGTATCAACTCGGCAACATTGTAAGTAAGGGTCACCTTCAATGTTCTCTGAGGTTAAATAAAGGTTGATTGATTGATTTGACTCTCTCAAAAGAGCTTTTACGTCTGCTCCTGTTTTAAAACAACCTGGTCCCTCTAGACCGTTCAGAAACAAAGCCCCGAGGCAGGGAGAGAACCGCCAGTGAGGGGCGGGGGCGGAGCGCGATTCCTGAAAACCGCCAAGGGACGTTGGGAGGAGGACATCAGCCACCAGAGAGGGGATGACGACGATGACGACCACGGGATGCACGAAGGCGGGATGTGAGTCCCAAACCTGAACCCTGCCTCCAGCATCCTCCTTGAACCTGGGGTAGCACATGTTGTGCTACATTGCAGTATTATCATAGGGGTCAGGAAAACCCCATAATACCCTATAGCATTCTTTTCACATAAACTAATACCCACTGAACTGAATTATGGCATAGGGGATCGCAAGCTCCTGGCTTTAAAGCATGCTTTAGAAAAATGGAGAAGCTGGCTAGAAGGTGCCAATCATCCGTTTACAGTCCTTACAGAACATAACAATCTAGAATATCTATGTACAGCAAAACGCCGCTACCCTCATCAAGCACACTGGTCTTTGTTCTTTTCACGATTTAATTTCAATTTATCTTATCACCCTGACTCTTGAAATACCAAAGCAGATGCAATATCTAGAGTATATCAAATCCAAGAATAAGCAGAAAGCTCTCAGGAACCTGAAACATTTGCCTCCCGTGTTAAAATATCTTGCATTCGCTGGCAGATAGAGGAAGAAATACAAAAAGCACTAGAAAATACAACCTGATCAGTGCCTGGTTCACAAAACTTATGTACCAACTCGGTTCAGAGATCGTCTCATCACTTGGGCCCACTCATCACTTACCTCAGGCCACCCCAGAGAAACTAGAACTCAGCAAATAAGATCTAATCACTATTGGTGGGAGTCAATGCAAGACAATGCAAGACACCCAAGACATTACCAACTGGTAAACTCAAACCAATACTCGTTCCAAACAGACCCTGGTCCCACATAGCCCTTGACTGCATCAATGATCTTTCATTATCACATGGATTCACTACCGTACTCACTATTGCTGACAAATTCTCACAAAGCATAAGATTTATTCCTTTTCCTTCCCTGCCCACTACTTTCCAAACCACTGAGACTTTAGTCAATCAAGTCTTTTATTATTTGGTATCCCGAAGATATTTTACCTGACAAAGGCCAGCAATTCACTTTCCAAGTATGGTCAGCCTTTTTTGAACATATCGAGTTTCGTTTAGTCTGACGTCAGGATACCACCCACAGTCCAATGGTCAGCGCAAGCGCATTAATTAAGGATTGAGCAAGTTTGTTAAAATATTCTGTCAAAACAATCCTAATGACTGAGCACGTTACGTAGTATGGGCAGAAATGACACAGACATTTTTACGACTGGTGTCACCTCTTTCCAATGTGTTCTCGGGTTTTAACTTCCTGTGGCTCCATGGACTGGACTTTCTTCAAACATCCCTGGATGCAATGTAGCAAGGGGGTCTTGGAAGAGCATGATGCATCAGAAGATCGAGGCTGTTCTTCAACACTTCAAGCAGCTGGCCGACTATCACCATGGTGACACACCCAGGTAACACACCTGGAGACCGGGTTTGGTTATCGACTGTAAGACGTTACACCCTAAATACATAGGTCCTTTTAAGATCCTTGAAAAGGTTAATTATGTTACCTACAAACCTGATTTACCTAATTGTTATGCTGTTCGCCAGCTGCTGGATTCCAGCAGAAGAGAGGGCCAATTGCAATACTTGCTCAACTGGGAGGGATATGGCTCTGAGAAGCAGTGCTGGGTTCCTGCTGGAGAAGTCCTTAGACCTGGGATTAATTGCTGATTTCCACAGCCTGCATCCAGATAAGCCCACTCCTCGCCCTAGGGACCGCCAAAGAGGGCATTACCCAGTTCGCTGTCTGGTTGTAGATGTAGACAGGGGCTCAGTTTTCCAATTGGAAATAAATCTTTCCTGCCTATATATGCCAGAAAAAGAGCTGTGGAGGCAACCACTAGACTCAATGTAACACTTCCTCTTGCGATTCATTCCCGCGACCCTTACAACACTCACCACTGCAGACTGTATGGTCCTCACTAGCAGCACTAGCAGCACAAAAGGAAACACAGTGGCTTATTTTTATTTATAAATCACTGTCTGGCCATACACTGCGACCCAGAAGGATAAGCGGTTTAGAGGATGTGTGTGTGTGTGTGTGTGTCTGGCCATATGCCAGCTCACATCTCATCTGTGATCTCTATAAAATGTAAATAAATTAAAATAAAAACAGAATGCAATGATTTGCAAATCTCATAGACCCAGTTTTTTATTGTTTTTCATTAGTACCTTTTACTTTTCCAGCCTGTTGTTGTCCCTGTCCCGACTTTTTTGAGATGCATTGCTGCCATCAAGTTCTAAATGCGTTAATATTTTTCTTGAAATGGTAAAATGTCTCATTTTCAACATAGGATATGTGTTCTGTGTCCCAATTTTTTTGGAATTGGGGTTGTAAATCTACATCTTAAGTACATGTTTATATATTTTTGTAATTAATTGTATGTATTATTGTGTAAAAAAAAATATTATTTAATTGTGAAACAAAAAGCTGCTAAAACTGCAAAAAATATCGAATTCTATTCTTACATATTTAGAAGATCTTTATTTGATGGAAGATTATATTTATAATTAATACATACATACATACATAAATGCGCAGACTGCATTCTGCCACCAGATGGTAGCACTTGGAAACATCTGTACTCTTCAGCTGCAGAATACACCCATCTAGCATTAATCTGACTTGAATGCATAAGGCATGAATGAGCTGCATTTTCAAACATTTAGTACTACTCAGATAAAAAAACAAAACAAAAAAAAAACAGATTGGCAGCTTTTCCGAGAACATAAGAGTCCGCTACATATGGACTTATATATGTATATATTAGATAGATAGATAGATAGATAGATAGATTTAAAGCATTCCATTTCCAAAATGATTAAGCAGTCGAAGCTCTGTTTCTCTATGCATTACTTTCGTCAGGAAACTGAAGCTAGAGAGTGGGTGTTTCAGGTTGGTAAAAGAAAGTGCAGAACCGGGACTGGGGAAAGCATCTAATGAAGCCGAGCTGCTGAAAGGGCATTCTCTGATACCCACTCAACCCCACCCGTTGATCCGTTGTCTAGGTTACCGATCAGACACGTACAGTTGCTACCTAGAATAGGCTATCCATGCGCCAGAGAAAACGACAAAATACACATCACACGTCATAGACGCACACACATTCCTCATCGTGCATCTAATGTGAGTGAGGCGGGCTCTACTGTTCGGGCGGAAGGCCTCTCTGTTAGTTCTGCGGAGACTGCAGCGTCTCACACTACATTTTCTTCCTCCGCGAAGCTCCGAGAGTGATGTGATGTGAATATCAATGATGATACATGAGCCAATGCGCTCATTCTCGTCGTCTCCATAAATCTGAAAGGTAAGAGCGCTGTTTTTCTGCCACCTACAAGACTCGTTACAACGCTTTTTAAATTTGCAATGTTTTTTTTTTTTTCCTGACGGCACCACTGATCCAACAGTAGCAGTAATGGGGGTTCTGTGAACGCGCATGCATTATAATGAAGCCGATTAGGTTAATTCTCAATGAGCGAAGCTAGTCAATGGGTTTTAAGTTAAATCGTGTTGCACACTTGAAAGATAATGAGTAAATATATAAATATTTCGTTTTTTGCGCACAGAATCATCACACCACACATCAGAGACTCGTATTGATATACTAGCAAATGCCTAATTCTTCCATTTATTCTTTAATGCCACTGTGTGCTTGTAGCCTATATGCAGGCAAGACGAGGAAGATTTGACTGGTAGCTGTAGTCATAGTATCTTGATATGTAAATGGTTGTTTATCATCAGGTTTATAAAAATTATTTTCGTTTATATCCAACTTTAAAAACACCTTTCGTGAGCTTCATGAGAAGAAGAAATTTATTCGTCTTCTAATTCTGATTTATTTCTTTATTTGACTCAGTATTCAACAAGTACGTTACTGGTCACATGTTACAATTAGAAAAACCTGTTCCTATAGACTTAGCTAAACCACCATCTTGGTTGTGTGTGTGTGCGGGCGCGTGTGTGTGTATTTTTTCATTTGCTTCAAAATGTCTGAAATACTCAGATCACCTGACTCCACTATATATAAAACAGGGAGGTTAACAACTGAAGTTAAATCTCCCAGTATGCCAAAATTGAATCTCATAATATGAATGTCTTTTCTCCCTCTCTTGGTCTTGTCTTATGTTATAATTTATTTGGGCAATGTAGTTCAGTGAGATAAATGCTGTAATATTTACTCTTCATTGAACTGCGCAAATATGTACCACAAACAGTCACAAACTACAAAGTAGAAGCATGCTTGTCTGCGTTGTATGCATCGTCTAATACATGCAGACATTATGGATATGTGAGCTTTTTACTTTAACGAGGGCTTCTTTTGAACTGATAAATTGTGTTTTTGATAAAATAGGTATTCTTGAGTTTAATCAAGGGATTCATCAAGGGATAAGTTATGGTTTGACTAATATTAAATTATTAGATTATTAGCTGTTAGAATGGTTCTGGATGAGCATAATGCATTGAATGAATGCATTAAACACATATCCATAACACAGTATGCAATCAGTGACCTTGCAGACTTTACAGTATAAAATTAGGGACAAAATATGCATACATTATATACATACGCTATACAGAATTGATATAAATACAAATATGACACTTTTCTAACTGCACAGTTCCCACTGAAAGCTTTGAGCCAAAGGAAACAAATTGTTGTTTACTCACTTTATAGACCCACGCCATGAGATACACTGAAAACACAACTTGCTGCAACCTGCTACTTTAAAAAACACTCCATCACATGCATAAAAAAGAAAACGTCTAATGCCAAAGATAGACTACTAAAAAAGTCTAAAAAATTGAGAATTGATACAGTATCACAAAATATAATATTGCAATTCTCAAGTGTATTGATATTTTCTTACTCCCCTATTGAGTATGGGTTTAGGCTACTATATCCACCACTGGTCATTCAAATCTTTTATGTAGTAACCTGATCTCAATCCTGTAGACCTAAACACAACCTTTTTAATCCAGTAGTGTATTCTAATCTGAAGTAGTGGTATAATCTGTTTGTACTAGCTAGGATACATTCTCTGAATGGACAACAAAGCACTTTTATAAGTCTGACTCTGCATAAGACTTTAATGCCGGAAATTGATACTCTGACTAGCTGTTAGCAACACTAGCCAACCTAGAACACAGCAATGTGACTAAAACACTTAACTTGCTACATAAATACCTATTAAAGGTGTATATTATAATTTCACTTCAAATTCAGATTTTTTTCATTTAGTATGTCTTTAACATTGAGTATTTTTATTTTTTGTATTAATATTTGTTATTTGTTATATTTGTATTAACATTAGTTATGACCTGTCAGTTAAGAGTTTATAGCTGTTAGTAGTTATTGGCAATATTACACTACCATTCAAAGTTTGTAATCACCATAAGTCATTGTCTCCATTAATATATAACAATGTTGTTGGAGGCACATTTCTAAAATGATTCTAGTATGGTGCTACTACTCTGCAACTTCATAAGTTTCAACTAAATTGTACAAAAATTAAAAAAAAAAAAATGATTAGATGATTCTATAATAAGTCAGTAAGCTATATAACATTGAAAGTGAAGATGCATTAAATTTAATATCCATTGTGCCTTGCATTTTAAAAGTAATGATCAAATCTCAAAAATTGAGAGGATCCAGATAATGTATCAAGGAATTAAATAGATTATTATTATAATTATATAATTAGATAATTATTATATATTATTTGTCATTAAATAAGTACCTGCTGTGCCAAAAAACATGAAAAATCTTAAAATGTTCTGGTGTTTAGCTTGTAGTATATTCAATCTATGCTGCAAGTTATTATTTAATAAAATAACACCAGTCATTAATATGACAAGTGATTTCAACTTTTGAATAGTAATCTATGTTACATACGTATTTATACATAAAATGTTTTACACACACTTAGTAAATAAAAAGCTTAAAAAAAGAGCAGGCATAGTTTATGAATTATAGTTCATAAAGTATTAAATCAATCAGATTGTGATATTCAACTAAGTGAAAGTAGCCATGTCTAAATGAGAAAATGAAGCAAGTAGGCATAACCTTATCTTGTGAATTACTGTTGTTGTTGTTGGCTACGATTATGTCACTTAAAAGAAATGCAAGGTCATTAAGGAGTCAAAATATGAATATTGCTGCATGCAAGCTAACACTCCTGCACATTGAATTAATATCATAAGACTGGCAACCTTAGCAAAAACAGTAAGCTTTATCAAGAGTGGTAGTTAAGTGGCTATGGCAGTAATGCTGTTATATAATAGTTTAGTAGTGGACTTAATTTCATGCAACATTTGTTCAATGCACTGGAGCATAAATATGCTTCTAATTTGCAGAGGTGTAAGTAACGAATTACATTTACTCTTATTACTGTAATTGAGTACAGTTTTCCCTGTAACGGTACTTTTTCCATGCCAGGTAACTTAGCCAGTATATTACCATATAGTGTTTTTATGTAATTTTTTTCAAATAAAACCATTTTGGATGCGAAAGTAAACCTCTTTTGTAGATTAACAATGGTGTTTTATCCTGGGATGTCCCACAGACTTAACAATATGTAGACTAAAGTCAATATTGCTTTGTAGCCCCAAAACTATACAGGCATGACTGTCAGACACTGCAGGCATGTGGTAAATATGTATGTGGAGTCATTCACACTATCAGCATTAATTGAGAAGCTGCGGAGCTTCTCCGTTTGTAGCCCGGGACCACTGCATCATGTGAAGCAGCAGGCTGAGTGCCACAAGTAGTGCGCGCAGAAAGCTAGCTAATCCTAATGCTAGGCTAGGGGCTAACAGTTAACCTCAAGAGACCAGTTTTCCTTCCACTCTCTTTTTCTCCTTTAAAGGAGACATATTTACTATTTTTTCTCTGTTTAGTATACTTCCCAGTGCTCTTTAAAAGGTATTTGTGATGAATGTGGGGGGACGCTTTAATTCAGCTTTCATATATTGTGTTTTAACATACAATTTTCTCATCTGTGAAGAATGTGTGTTTTCTGGGCGTTGATTCTGTATTCAAATGAGATGACTCTCATTGGCTGACTCGCTCATTGCGCTGCTGTTGTAGTTCAAAAATGGCAACAGTGGACCACAACATTGTGGGACTGCAGTGTCACGTAGCAGAGCAATAGAATTCATATAGAACTCATATAAACAAGTTCAAGTTGATTCTTTACTCTATTTATTTAAATTTAATGAAATAAAGCTTTCAACATAATTTATCATGCTTAGAATCAGTATACTACCTTTTTACAAACTCACTGTTTCAGGGCTGCCAACTCTCATGCATTGGCTGTGAGATTCATGTATTTAGGTCTAATCTTATGCTTGAGAAGACCTTCACTAAATACTTCGCAAACAGAGGAGAACTAAAGGAAAATGAAAAGATAAATAACAAGAGTTGCTCAGCAAGCTAAACATGTTCAATAAACACAAGTCTTAAACTAGAAAGGGAAGGTCCATGAACGACTTTCAAGTTGTGTGAGTGTGTAGTGTTTGGAGTGTGTGATGCATGTAGAGTGTGTGTGGTGAGTGTAAATGTGGGTGTGTGGTGTGTTTATGGTGTGTGTGGTGTGTAGAGTGTGGTTTGTGTATGTGTGCGCTGTGTTGAGTGTGTGTGGTATGCCGAATATGTATTAATACTGTTTTTACTATTTTATTTCTGTTATAACTGTTTTATTACTGCTTTTTTTCTTTTACTTTTGTTATTACTTTGAAATCTGTGCCTATCATGTGCAGCCAGGTGAGGAATTAGACTGCTGGGAACCAATAACAGACACTTTTTAACTGCTCTATATTCTATATTCTCTGTAAGTGAACTGTATTCTGCCCTCATTAGAGCAGGCCGACCAGAAGAGATAACAACAAATTATCAATGCTGAACAAAAGCAGATCTTACCAGCTTTCAGTCTGAGCTCCTCTGAATGCTTAACTGTTGTCACTGGTCGTCGAGTCACTTAATGTGATACTATTTTATGAGTAAGTTAAGAAAAAAATCTTATTTGTATATATTTTACTTAGAAGTAATGGTTTTGTTTTGAATGGATATATGTAGTATTGATGTGGAAATAGGTCAGATGTCAGCAAAGTAAATATCTGATGCTAACACAGCATTTTAGTAATATTTGAGATGAAGTGTCAGGCTGCAAATATAAAAATGTCAGCATTCTGCAATGTTTGCAGCAATTGTAGTACAATAACAATAACTGCAGTGATCAGGTCATCAATAAATAAGAATCAAAAAATAGCTTAATTATCAGCTAGCCAAAATTAAGTTCAAATTTTTAC